CCTATCGTTAATTTTATCAGCAAAAAAATTGCTTGAATACCTTAAGAAACATATGGTCTTCTCATTATTAATTAATAATTACGTATTTCTTTGGTAACGTATATATAAACGAACCGTTACCAAGATGTTATATTAGAATTTTAATAATATTAATAATTAACTACGGTGGATAATAATTTTGATCATTCGCGAAATTTTAAGATTCTCGGATAGCCATATTTTAGAGAATCGACTATGCGTTCATTAGCATTATTTACTTGTTTTTGGCCACATAATTCGCCATAAAATTGTCTTTTGGATCACCCTGTATGAACAAACTTCAACATACGTCACAAATGGGATTACCCCTTAAAAAGGAAGAAGTCTGAAAACTGCAGATAAATAATTAACCTCAATTAGAATAAAATAAAAATAATTAATTTAAATAACTGAAAAAATTGAAAACAAAACAAAAATTATAAAAAAAATATACACTTGTATAAGAAAAAAATCTTGCTGATCTAGAATTTAAAAAAATTTCACTTGCTCCTAAGAAACACGATGATTAAAGGAAAAAAGTATTATGAACAATTCAAATTCAAAAACCACATACATAATTTTTTTTTCTGTTCCTAAGGATCACATTTTATTTATTCCAAAACTCGAAACACGTAGCAAATAATTTTTTATTTTAGTAAACGGAGTTCTAAAGAGACCGACATTTGTTCATTTTTTTAAACTGTGTTATATGGGACGATGCATTTTATTTAATTTTTGAGCTGACGTCATCAACTTTTTGGTGGGGATAGGGGATTTTAATATAATAGTACTAATCACAACTTAACTGTGTTGTCATAATTCTAAGAAAATTGTTAATTACTAAGTATTGCGAATTTTTCAATAAAAGCGTATTTAATATGAACTGAATTAAGATCATCGACTTTATGGAAGGAATGAAAACATAAATTTTGATATCAGTGTGATCTATTTGGTATACAGTGTTCGAGTTTTACCAAAATTTACAAGAATTATTTTATAAATTTAAATTATTGTTGTGAAATAATAATAATAATAATAATAATAATAATTTATTATCCAACAGACGAAGGTCCAAAAGGATAAATATAAACTCACAAATTAATTAATTACTAACACTAAATAGAGTTAAAAAGAAAAAAAAACATAACTATGACTTAATCACTCCTATACAACAAAACACGAAAAGACTTAATACTAGAAGTAACAAAAATATCTACAATTGGGGCTACATCATTATAGCAACGACACATGTTGTTCAATGGCGAAAAATAATGTTGGTTGGTCCTACTACAATTTATCATGAAAGTGCCTGAATACCGACAATTTAATCGTGGAACATGAAAATTTATTTGACTAAGTAAGTTTTTGCTAACAGTGTACCCATGTATTAATTTAAATAAAAAGTAAATGTTGGCGAACGTCCTTCTTTCTTTGAGCGACAGCAAATTAAAATCATTTAATAACATTTTGTTAGGGAATGATCGTGGAGGATAAGTATGATATTTTACATAATATAAGTATTTGCAGAATCTACGTTGTATGCGTTCGATTGCCATAATATGGATGCTATAGTACGGGTCCCACACTACAGAAGCATATTCAAATTTTGTTCTGACATATGCGAAATATAACGTTAGCAAAGCATCTACATTTGTAAAACTACTTGTGTTTCTAAAAATAAATCCTAACATTTTTATAGCGTGTCCACAAATATATTGAATGTGAGGAATAAATGACAAATGATGATCCAGTATAACACCCAGGTCTTTTATTTGGCTAACTCGCTCAATTTGAATATCATTCAATGTATAATTAAAATTAATATTGGTCATTAATCTGGAAAATGTTATTGTTTTGCATTTATTTTCATTTATCTTTAGTTTGTTTAGCGTGCACAATTTACTAAAGTTGTTTAAATCATTCTGTAACAAACGACAATCCTCTATGCTAGACACGTATTTTGCGATTTTTAAATCATCAGCATAAACAAAAATCGGACATTTAAATTGTGCTAATATATCATTAAAATATATTAAAAATAACATGGGTCCTAGGTTGGACCCCTGTGTTACACCACTAGGAGTACCATATGCATCCGAACAGTAGCCACAAAACTCAACATACTGGATACGATTAGTTAATAGCGATTTAAAAAGTTTAACTAGATTATCACATACACCAGCAGAACTTAATTTGTTTAACAAAATAGAATGGTTAACAACATCGAATGCTTTAGAAAGGTCTGTGTAAACCACGTCCACTTGCATTCGAGATTCTAAAGCATTCGATACAAACTGAACAAATTCGCAGAGATTTGTGGTGGTCGATTTACGTTGTACAAAACCATGTTGATTAGTATTAATTTTACTAGACATATGACTATACAAGGTTTTGGCCAGTACAGATTCAAATGACTTAGCAAAGTTACATATTATTGCGATGGGCCTATAATTTTCGATATTATTTCTTTGTCCAGATTTGAAGACAGGAATCACTTTTGCACTCTTCCAGACGCTGGGAAATGTAGCTTTGCGTATAATCAAATTGTATATAAAGCACAATGGCTCAATAAGACATGTGGCGCAATCTTTTACAAAAAATGCCGGAATGTTGTCTGGTCCCATGGTAAAATTTGCTTTTAACTTTTTGATGGCACATAAAATATCACATTTGTTTATCACAAAATTATGAAGAACGGTAGAAATATCACAGTTGGTATCACAGTTAGAGATGTTATCACAGACAGTATTACTAACAAATACAGAACTGAAATATGCTCCAAAGCTATTAACAATGTCCTGAGGCGAAGTTACGTCATGACCTTTATAGGCCATAACTCCAGGTACACTTGAGCAGTTCTTTTTTAAATTAATATACGTCCATAGATTTTTCGGATTTGTTTTAATTTCGTGTTCAGCCTTAGTGATAAAATTTCTGTAGGCCGTATTAATATCTATTTTAATTTGTTTCCTTAGTGTGTTAACTTGAACTAAATCTCTTGAGAACTGGAATTTTTTATAACGTTGCCATATTCGATGTTTTAGTTTAATCTGTTCTATTATTTTTGACGAGTACCAAGCTGGATATGATGAAGAAGTTATAGAACACTTCGGGACAGAAGCATCCAGCAAAATATATAGTTCTCTATAGAAATATTCAACTGCGTCATTAACATCATTTAGAGTTAAGAGCAAGGACCAATCCTTTGTAGCTAATTTATTATACAACTCCAGATAATTACCTTTGCGGAAATTATATTTAGTTTTACTCTCCAGATTGCAAAATTTTTTCTCTTTTTCCACTAATGGTAAATTAATATTAATATCTAGCGCCGGATGATGAGCATCTTCAGAAACTAATGCAGTGACAGGTCGACAGACTGAACAAATTAAATCATTAGAAGTCAGGACCAGATCTAAAATACGGGAATTGTAGTTTAAAATGTAATTATTTTGCCTTAGATCGTTTATGTTTAAAAATTCACTTAATGGAACACAGGAACTTGTTAACTGTCGCAACGAATCATTAGTACCCATCTGTTTGAAATAATGTGGAATATTGAAGTCACCTAATATAACACTATATTTGGATAAACAACAACTGGATTCTATATAGTCAAATATTTCATCGTAACATTCAGATGATAAAGCCGGTGGAATGTATAGGTTAATTATATTAAATTTGACTGTTTCACTAATTGATATCTGTGTTCCGATCAGATCTACTTCCGAAATTGGAGATGTTAGAAGCAATGTTTTTGATTTAAACGAGGATTTAACAGCTAGCAATACTCCTCTTCCTCTTCCTTTACCATTAGATCTGTATACATTATAATCAGAGTTGAAATACTCACTACTTAAAACGTCTTGGCTTAACCAGGTTTCAGTGATTGCGATGATGTCATAACTAGCGGCAATAACATTAGGGTAAAATAAGTTAACTTTTGTGTTTAACCCTCGAACATTTTGATAGTTTATTGTAAGGTTAACTGGGATAGTATCGTTGGTCTGCTGGATAATTACAGGTTTTTTTTTAAATCCTTTTTAACAATTTTAGGAATACCATCTCTATACTTTAAAGAAATATCGTTTTCTCCATGCTCTATACGGTTTCTGAATTCAGAGCGAATTAAAAAGCTGTGGTTTTGCTGGCGAGGAATAAGATCCCTGTTTAAATATAAGTTCTCCTTACGTTTGTAAGACTTTAAGATTTCTAGGGCTTGATGAGAATTTCCAAAGATAATTTTAATAGGACGTATTTTGTCATCATTTAATCTTCCTAGACGAACGCAGTTCATGATTTTCACAGACTCACTTTTACTTTCAGGTATCATAATTTTTTGACATCTAGATTTGTCATCATCTTTACGCATATCTGAGTTTACCGCATTCGATTCTGGTAAATTGAATAATATTAAATTCGTAGCGCGCCGGTTTCTGTCCTCAATTTCATTGATAATGTCTTCTTCCGATAATTTCTTACTCGTATCGTGGTCATCAATTACCTTACTTTGATTGTTTTTTAATTCATTCAGCTCGTACTTAACATTGGCCAATTCTTCTTTCAAACCATTAATAGTCGCTACAATATCACATTTTTCACAGTAAAAATGAATTTTACGTGACATGGAGCGAATGCAGTCCACTTCAGTTTTGGATAATCCAGCACATTCAGAATGAACAAGCCCACGACAAATATCGCAGGTTACACAATCAGACGATCGTAAGTTTTTTTTATTACACACACTACACGACATACTGCAACTAACTGTAGATTACGATAGAAATAGAAAAACACAATACAATGGAACTTTTAAACAATTCATTTTAAACAAAGCAAGATTCTGTTACCATTTTTTTTTCAAATATATACAGTAAACTGATACAGAATGAAGGATGATAAAAAATAATTGTCTAAAAATAACGCAACAACTTTATTTCTTTTTAATATTAGATTTCACAATTTCAATCAATTGACAACTATTCTAAAAACTACAAACACAAACACCACAAAACAAATAAAACAACCAATTCTAACCTGATCAGTTACAAGATTTACTAACGTCGAGATTTTCCCCTTTCGGCAGCTTCCTCTTAATCCTCACACCTGCATACTTAGCATCACATCTAGCTTTCCGCAAAGTAACATAAGCCTCAAACTTCTTCTCCTCTTCACTCACCTTCCTCACCTTCATCTTGCTTTCCCGAACCTTCACTTTATTCAAATCTTTCCCGCTATCCAGCTTCACAACTTGGGTCTCTTTCACAGGCATTAAAATTAACCTCTCTTGATACTCCTTCAACCTCTGCACGTTGCGAACAACAGATTCTACACACCGATTTCTGCGCCTATGATCAACAGCAATCCCTATGGTACGAGCGTACTTTTTGTTAATTCCTGCCTGCTTTAGCTCTCGTAGAGTGAAACCGCGACCTTTTCGAAGCTTGCTGTGGTAACGCACGCTGGGACAGCTCACCGTAGGTCTGAAAAGCTGGATGGGTTTGGGCACAGAGTTGGCCAATTTTTTGGCACGAAGGAACTTGCGGCGCACTTTTTTCATGGGTTGGTCGAACCAGGTTCTAGTGTGGGTTTGCCATTTCTTGTGGTAGTGGCCGTTGGGGATCATGTTGTTGTGGCGGACCATGTTGAAACTGTAAAATAGTTTAGGTTGGTTGGCGATAAGAACGTTTATTGACTATTTTTGGTTAACCTTTAATTGGTTTGGTGTTCAAAAAATATAATCGAAGAGATGTTGACGTTCACTATGACGGTAATTGGAAGTTTTAAAATGTTTGACAGATGAGGTATGAGGTGACTGGATTTTTTTTATTTAAAATAATCCGTCATGTAAGAAGACCATTATGCTTTGGAAAGAAGGCTTGATGCGTCTAAATTGGAAAATTGGTTCTACCTTCAAAATTTGTTAACTACTTACTTTTGTAAAGTCTTTATTTATGTATTTTTAAAATTATATTTTAAAATACACTTTGATCAAAAAGATTTCGTTACCCCTTAAAGTCAAAAGAGAACGCTCTACCTAAATATTTTAGAGCTCAAGATTTTAAGGATAAAGCTCCAGTTATCAATCCAGAAGAAACAATTAATGAAAAAAATATCAAGATTCAAAATTTAGTATCCACTGAAAAACAATTATGAACAACAGAAATAAGACGAAATTTATTGTTCAAAAGAAAAAATCAACAGTTTTAATTTTGAGAGTTTAAAAATTAATGACAAACTGGTGATTGCAGGTAAATTTGGAATAAACGAAGAACTAATTAGAAATGCACCTAAGTAAATAAAAAAACAAACTGAGGAGTTGGCGCCTCGAGACTGCAGAAAAAGCACTGTCGATTAAATTTTCTGGCGGTTCTTCAGGCTGTGAATCTTTGTTGAAATTAAATTATTTGTTTATAAGATTAATATTACCAAATGGCATACCCTATAAGAAAATAAAGCGCTGGTGGTGGGGCCATTACTTGCTAAGATAAGACTGATTTTGCCAAATGACATACCCTCTTAAAAAAATAAAGGTAGTACTTGCCAAAATAAGACTGATTTTGACAAATGATATACTCTCTAAGAAAGTAAAGGGCGGGTGGGCGGGGCTAGGACTTACCAAGATAAGACTGACTTTGCAAAATGACATACCCTTTTAAAAAAATAAAGATAGTACTTGCCAAAATAAGACTGATCTTGGCAAATGATCTACTCTCTAAGAAAGTAAATGGCGGGTGGGTGGGGCTAGTATTTGCCAAGATAAGATTGACTTTGCAAAATGACATATCCACCAAAAAATTAAAGGGCGGGTGGGCGGGGCTAGCACTTGTCAAAATAAGGCTGATTTTGGCAAATGACCTACTCTCTAAGAAAATAAAGGGCGGGCGGGTTGGGCTAGCACTTGCTAAGATAAAAGTGCTTTTACCAAACGGCATACCCTCTAAGAAAATAAAGCGCGGGTGGTGGGCTAGTACTAGCTAATATAAGACTGATTTTGGCAAATGATTTACTACTGTAATAAAATAAAAGGAGGGTGGGCGTGGCTAATACTTGCCAAGATAAGACTGACTGCAAAATGATATACCCACTAAAAAAATAAGGGGTGGGTGGGCAGGCCTAGTACTTGCCAAGACAAGACTGATTTTGGCAAATAACCTAGTCCTTAAGAAAATAAAGGGAGGGTGGGCGGGGCTAGTACTTGCTAAAATAAGACTGATAATACCAAGTGGCATACCCTATAAGAAAATAAAGCGCTGGTGGCTAGGTTAGTACTTGCTAAGATAAGATTGATTTCGCCAAATGGCATACCCTCTTGAAAAAATAAAGGTAGTACTTGACAAAATAAGACTAAATTTGCCAAATTACCTACTTTCTAAGGGCGGGTGGGCGGGGCTAGTACTTGCCAAGACAAGACTGATTTTGGCAAATGACCTATTCTCTGAGAAAATAAAGGGCAGGTGGGCGGGGCTAGTACTTGCTAAGGTAGGGCTATCAAGTAAAAAATTCTTAAATGACACAATGAGTCAAAAGGCATCATGTGTGGGAGCCCTATTAATTCTCTTTCTTAAAGTGTTTGAATTTTTAAAAGCCGTGTATTGGTTCCTGAGAAATTGTATTATGAAAAATCTATAAAATATCACTTCTTATCACCTTTTTTTACTTGCTCGTTAAGAATATCAACGTAATCAATGCTGAACATATCAACGTTATACGTACCCCTTGAATCAAAAAACGACCTGTTCGAGCATTTTCACGTAATCAAGTACACCGCCTAAGGCCCCGTGTGTTTCGTTTTATTCGGGCCACCCTGTATAACTTTTCACTGCAGGATAGATCTTAGAATCCTTCCACTTTGTAGAGAAACCCCTGTTTCAAGAGATTTATTAAATATTAATAGGAGTGGCTTAACAATTTAGAACTTAACAGTCCTTAATTATGAAGCTTGAAATCTAATCAGAACCTGATGTCATACCAGGTTCGAGTCTTCTGATGGCTTTTATTACCTCATCTTACGTGACTTTAAATATATTTACGACGGATAAAGTAGAATTTTGATCATTAAGAGGATCAGATTGAATATAAGTTGATTTAAAGAAATCACCAAAGGCAATTATAGCATCTCATTAAAAAAATTGGTCTAAAAACTTTAGACAGTACTTCCCTCGGTGTGGGAAACGTGACGACTACATGCGTATTATGTTTTTTTTGCATTAGATTTCAAAGTATTCGGTTTTGTAGTTCTTGATTAAATCAATAAAATAAATTTGCGCATTCATTAAATTTTTTGAGTCACCCTGTATATGCAAATCCAAAAAATATGAATGGAATTGTGGGTATTGTTGGTGATTTAAAAGCGACGGTACGGTTTTGAGTTTTTATTTTGTTCTTTACTGTTCGAGGGTGTCAGGGAGAAGAAGGAAGGGTGTTTAAAATGGTACACAGGTAAGCTCGGATTTGAAGAGGTGGAAGTAGGTAAAGAAGGGTTTAGAAAGTTCCAGAAGCGAAAAGAGAAAGTATGAAGAAGTGTAGGGCAGGTAGACGAAGGATAGGAAATATTTACATTTATACAAATATTACAAATGCCCTCAGGTAGAACACCTGATTTTGTGGGAACGGTTGTTCCTACAGAATGATAAATTACAAGAAGAGACTCATCATATTTTGTACATTTTAGATAGGATTATTCGGCAAACTTTTGAGCTGACGTCATAAATTTTTTGGAGGGGATAAGCAAATATATTTCGACTAAAAATTTATTATGCTCTTTATAACCTTAAAACATTTGCAAAATTTCAAACCATTCGGTTCTGTAGTTCTTGATTAAATCAATAAAATAAATTCACGCATTCACTAATTTTTTTGGGTCAGCCTGTATATACATATCCGAAAAATATGAATGGATTGATAAATCAAGAAGAGACTCATCATATTTTGTACATTTTAGATAGGATTTATTCAGCAAAATTTTGGGGTGGCGTCATCAATTTTTTGGAGGGGATAACTAAATATATTGTGATTTTATCATGCTTATCATAAGTGTAAACCATCTGCAAAATTTCAAAGCATTCCGTTTTGTACATTCCAAATTAAATGTCAAAATGTTGTTTCCTAATTTTGATTTTTTTTCCAAAAATCTGGACGTTTCAGGTAAAATCTCAATCCGGAGTCATAAACTACATGTGTAAGACTACTACTACATTAAAAATGCGTCGTAATTATTTCCAAATAGTATTTCCAACTTTCTAAAGACTTCCTTATAAATATATAACATGACTTTCGTAGCGATTTATCAGTAAATGTTTAACTGACACCTCAAAGTTGATAATTTTGTTTCTCAATAATGCCTACTGATTCTGGTCTTAAAACATACAACTGAAGCACATTTTTTACCATTCATTCGCAGCTTCAAGCTATTTTAGTGACGAAGTTATCCCCAATCATTTTCATTGTACATACACCACAGAAAATTTGACTGACAAAGCCAGTGAATTAAAATTTCTGGCTGTACTCTGTAGGGTAGCAAAGGACTACCATATCTATGTTTCTTTCTAACTTGGCATCGCTGTCAGTCGTGTTCACACTCTTAAAGACGACATAATACGTCCAGGTACTCTAGTTATACCAAATTCTAAAGGTAATACAGGGTTTCTATAAATGATTATAGGAATACGTGCCGCCTCTCAATTTTAGACTTTACTAACTGCCCAAGGACGCACGACAAATACCACACTGTATAACTGGTTGCCTAAATGCTTCATATCTTATTAAAAAATGGAACTAAATTATTACAATAAAAAAAAAAAAAAATTTATTGCGGTTAAACATCACAGTAAATGTTGAAAATGTTCACCGTTTTGATCGAGGCACATGTTCACTCTCTTTTTAAATGAAAAAATATTCTGTAATCATTTTCGTCAGTATCCATAATTCCATTTCTTGTTGCAATAGAAATTCCTAACTGTTGAGGTAATCTTGTCAAAGATGTTTGCAGATTCTACTCTCAATTCATCAGCAACTTCTTCTGTTAAAGACTCATTCACCTTTTCTAACTGTTTAAGAGCAATTAAATAAGAATCTGACACAAAGTTTGCAAATAAAGTACCAACTAATAAATTTGCTATATACATATCTGCCGCATACATCTGTTGTTTCTTAATTTTAGCAGCAGTTTCGGCATAACATTTATCTACAGTTGTTTTTCTGGGAGTGTTTTCGTCTAGAATGGTCATTTTACAGTATTTTTCCAAAAATGAATTAAATGCAGGATTACTTAACTTCTGTTTCCTTTAATTTTATTTTATTAGCACATAAAGTTTCTCGTTCTGCAGTGTTGGTCTATAAGACGTTTCTTTGTGCTCGAATTCTATAAAAAAAATTGAAAATAAAAATTATTTATGTATTATTGTTGATGTTAACATTGAATAACATGCAAAACATATTTTTTTATTTAGTTCTCTTAGACATTAGTCTAAGGACTAAAAATATATTTTAAAAAATTTAACTGCTTCGCCGTAAGGTTTGCAAAAAAACACCATCTCCATCTAGAACCAACTCTGAATAGAGCCACTATGATAGTTTGAAAGACATTTTTTTAATTATTTGTAAATCACTGCTCTGTCGCCAAGTTCGTAGACGAATGATGAACGAATTTGGAAATCGAAGAATGAAATATTTGCAAATCCATTCTAGGTTTTCCATCTCTTCCAACCTTTCGTTAAATACATTTGCAGAACTATCTATTCCAATAATACGCCTAATTGGGTGTGTCCATAAATGAAGTCTTGG